AGATACTGGTAATGAGGAGGTCTAAGTATGACCAGGGCAATTAATGGCTGAGGTAGGGTGAAGGAGAAGATCTAAGAGAACAGGAACTCAAGGAATTAAAACCCAGGGTAGAAATCTCTTACAAGTGCACTGAAATGACTAAATTAAGAAAATATAATAGTTGGTTTCTTCTCCAAGAGAACAAATGCTGGATGACGCTGGTGCAGCGGCATGGCCCGGGGGCCCTGAAGGTCCTGGGATAGGAGGCCGCAGCGGCTTCCATGGAGGCTTGGGCAACGGCCCCCGTGGTCGGGGATGGGGACGGGGACGGGGCCAGGGTCAGGGCCGGGGCCAGGGCCAGGGCCGGGGCCACAGCCACAGCCACAGCCGCGGAGCTCGCGGAGGCAAGGCCGAGGACAAGGAGTGGATCCCGGTCACCAAGCTGGGCCGCCTGGGCAAAGACGTGAAGATCACGCCTGGTCAAAGACGTGAAGATCAAATCCCTGGAAGAGATCTATCTCTTCTCCCTACCCATCAAGGAGTCTGAGATTATCGACTTCTTCCTGGGAGCGTCTCTTAAGAACGAGCTTCTGAAGATCATGCCAGTGCAGCAGACTCATGCTGGCCAGCAGTCCAGGTTCAAGGCATTTGTCGCCATCGGGGACTACAATGGCCATGTTGGTTTGGGTGTGAAGTGCTCCCAAGGAGGTGGCCACTGCCATCCAAGGGGCCATCATCCTGGCCAAACTCTCCATTGTCCCAGCAAGTATGGAGAGGCTACTGGGGGAACAAGATCGGCAAGCCCCACACTGTCCCTTGCAAGGTGACTGGCCGCTATGGCTCTGTGCTGGTGCGCCTCATTCCTGCCCCAAGAGACCACTGGCATTGTCTCTGCTCCTGTGCCCAAGAAGCTGCTGCTAATGGCTGGGCATGCTGCCTCGTACACCCTCAGCCCACGCATTGATGACTGCTACACCTCAGCCCAGGGCTGCACTGCTACCCTGGGCAACTTCGCCAAGGCCACCTTTGATGCCATCTCCAAGACCTGCAGCTATCTGACCTCTGACCTCTGGAAAGAGGCCGTGTTCACCAAGTCTCCCTATCAGGAATTCACCGACCATCTCGTCAAGACCCACACCAGAGTCTCTGTGCGGAGAACCCAGGCTCCAGCTGTGGCCACAACATAGGGTTTACATACAGCGAGAATAAAGTGAATTAAGCCCGAAAAAAAAGCAAGTATGAAAGTATAATAGTTGTAATGTGACAACGAGCCAGTGAGAAAATCCGTTGAGAACGATTTCAGTTGCAGACAGGTGACAATCAGAATGAAAAGTTGAGTATCTAACCTGATGATGTAAGTTTTAGGAAAGGAAGGAGGGGAGAGTAAAAGTCCTGAAAGAATAGCAAGGAGGAAGACCGACACCTAACCATTCCAGATCTAGTAATAAGAAGACTGGGGGACCAGCAGTTAGTGTAGCGTAATGGCTATGTCCCTGGACTCCCATGTAGTCGACCACGGTTCAAGTCCTGGACCCGTGGCTTAAACTCACGCCGGGCGCATGTGCGTGCATGCCCAAGATCCTGAGAGGAGAATGGAGGAGAAGGGATTGCGGCATGGCCATCCCCCCTGGGGGGTGATTTCTTGCTTTCTGTCTTTCTGTCTCTCTCTGTCTCTCTGTCTGTCTGGCGAGCGCATGCGCCCTATAGCAAAAACCTCTCCAAAAAAATAAAGACTGAGGAAAACAAGAGCAAGAACAGCTTCTGAGCTGGCAGTATCCTCAGAGGAGAGCCTAATTTCTGTTAGAGCAAAAAACAGAGGAAATTCCAGAAGACAGGGTGAAGACATCTAGTATTTTCCTGCTAATTAACCAAATCTTCCAAAGGGCACAATGGAAATGTTTAGAAGTTGCGGTAGGTGGAAGACGGGGACCAAACAGGAAATGCACAAAGCCTTATGAAAACAGAATACAGGAAATGAGGGGAGACCTATAACCTGGACCCTGTCACAAGCAAGGATAAAGAGCATCTTATTAGGTTAGTTCCAGTGGATTCAAGTCAAAAGTCAAAGGGTAGATACAAAATTTAAGTAAAAAATTAACCTGTCATTTGTATAAACTTCCTATATTTGACTTAATTATTTGTGTACTTCATATCACTTCTTCTGGGTATTTTTGTTTTTTTAAAGAGGTTTATGCCTTAGGGTGCATGCGCTTGCAGGAGAGACAGAGAAAGAGACAGAGACAGTAAGAAAGAAAGTGAGAAATCACCCCCTCTCCCCCACCGGGGAGATGGTCATGCCTCAATCCCTTCTGCTCTATTCTCCTCCTGGGATCTTAGACATGCATGCCCTCCCTGGAGTGATTTTCAAGCCACCAGGTCCAGAATTCCAACTGCAGTCAGCCCATATGGGAGTCCAGCAACATAACCACTATGCCACCTGCTAGCCCCTGGGTACCTTCTTAACAGATAACCTTATCCCCAGAGGTGGACTTTCCAGTTGTCATTTTATTTTATCACAAGAATTCTGTGGATTAGGAACTGAGGCAGGGCATGGCTGGACATTGATGAAATCACTAAATGGTACTCGGTTGGCCAGCTGGGTGAAGGTTCACAGAGCTGCTCTCACAGACTGCAGCTGTGGCAGAGACGGACAGAAGGCTGGGCTCAGCTGGGACTGTCCACTAGAGCATTTGTATATGGCCTTTCCCAGGTGGCAACCCCAGCGTGCTCAAATTTCTTATGTGATAACTGCCTTCCTCCAAAAGAAGCTTGCCCAGAGAACCAGCTGGAGGCTGCAAAACCCTTTCTAACCCAGCCTCAGACGAAACACGCTTCACCTTGGTGACACACGTGCTCTGACCTCATAGCTGATAAGGGTAGAGATCCCTGAAAAGGAGTCCTGGGTTCAAGCTTAAAATAACTGTACACTGTGCTCACTTCAGCAGCACATATACTAAAATTGGAACAATACAGAGAAGATTAGCATGGCCCCTGTGAAAGGATGGCACGCAAATTCGTGAAGCATTCCATATTTTTGGCTTTTGACAAAAAGTGGAAGAATATGGAAGATTTACTGTTGAGTGAAGCAAGCCAGGCTATGAAGGAGAGACATTGTATGTCCCCACTTAATGTATACCGAGTGTCCACACTCTATGATACTGATTGACTAAAGGATATAGAAACACAGTAAATGGATGTAAATACCAGATATAGTGTGTGTGAAAGAATAGGGTCTGAGGAAGGACATTTAGAAGAAAAATAGAGAGGCAAAGCATTAATGGGACAAAGAAATGTGGTATTATCTGTTGAAGATATTTTATAGTTTTATCAACTGGACTAAGGAGAAATGTTCACATGCTGAAATGTTCACTTTTAAGCTAAATAATGTGATTGAATGTATAAAAGAAAATGAAATTAAAAAGTAAATGAAAATAAAATAAACAAAAAATAAATAAATAAATAAAATAATTGTACACTGTGTTCATGACAAAAATTTAAATATATGTATCTTTTTTCTTTAGGAGAGTCTAGAAGATCCACAATGGAAAATTTACCTCGAAACTCAGGACATTTGGGAACAATCAGAGGGTAGGGCAAATCAAATAAAAAGTGCTATTAAGTACCCATATTGTGAAAGATACTAAGTTTACCACTTTCTCCAAACACAAGAAGAGTGGTTTTATTCAGCACTTTATAAGCTAATATTGAGGGGCCAACAGGTTGGCGTAGTGGTTAAGGTGCTCAACTCCCACATGGCTGACTGTGGTTTGAGTCCCAGACCAAGTGCTCAGACCAGGTACTTGTGCATGTGTGCCAAAAATCCCAAGAGGAGAATGGAGAAGAGATTGCAGCATGAAATTGCAGGGCCAGTTGGTGGTATGGTGGCTATGGTGGCAGGATGCCATATGGCTGAAAACGTGGCTTGAGTCCCAGACCAAGCAGCTTGAGAGAGAAGACCAGTGCATGTGCATGTGTGCCAAAAATCCTGAAAGGAGGAGACGATGGATTGTTATGTGGCAGGGGGGAGGGTGCTTTCTTGCTATCCCTTTCTCTCCGTCAAGTGTACATAATTTTGGCAAATTAAAAAAACAAAAAAGCAGGGACCAGCAGTTGGCATAATGGCTATGTTGCTGGACTTGCATGTAGTTGACCGTGGTTTGAGTCCCAGACCTGGTGGCTTAAACTCACGCAGGGAGTGTGCGTGCGTGCCCAAGATCCTGAGAGGAGAATGGAGGAGAAGGGATTGCGGTGTGGCCATCCCCCCTGGGGGGGGATTTCTCGCTTTCTATCTCTCTGGCTCTCTCTGTCTTTCTGGCAAGCACACGCACTCTATAACAAAAACCTCTCCAAAGGAAAAAAAAAAAAAAAGCAAACAAACCAACAAACAAAATAAAAAAGCAGAAGCCAGCAGGTGGCATAGTGGTCAGGGCACTGGACTCCTCCATGGCTGGCCACCATTCCCGTACCTGGTGGTTTGTTTTCTCTTGTCTTTCCGCTCTCTTTTTCTGTCTCTCTGGAGAGTGTATGTGCCCTACAGCAAATTAAATAATAATAATAAGTAAAATCATTATTTTTAAAATCAGTGTTTCAATATTACCTGGGTTTTTGTTTTGTTTTGTTTTTTTGTTTGAGAGAGATTTTCTGCTGTAGGACAGGTGTGCTCACCAGAAAGACAGAGAGAGACAGAGGAAGAGAAAGTAAAGAAATTACTCCCCAGGGAGGGATGATCATGCCACAATATCATCTCCATTCTCTTGGGATTTTGGACACACACACATGCATACACACACAGAAACCCCTGTATGTCTTTCAAGCTGCTGGGTCCAGAAATCGAACCATGCAGTTGGCCATGTAGGCTCCAGTCACCTTAATCACCACACCACATGCTGACCCAAATAGTTTAAGTTTTTAAGTGATGTCCAAAAATTACAGAAAGCCAAATATCTTTTAAAACAAATATTTTTAGTTTCTAATCCAATATAAAAGTTTGGTTTATAATTTATTTTATTTCAGATTTCCAGAAAATCAAGAAAATGAAACTTAGAGCAGCTTTCAGCTCAGCATCAAAGCAAGAAGAAATTTGTCATGACACCTTAGACTTTGATACCTGTAATGGCAGCATGTTACAAATAATGTAGACAGACTTGTAGTAATTTAAACTATGATTACGTTTCCATGGGATTTTGTATTGCAGTATACTACCACAAATTTAGTGTAAAACTTAGAACTTCATGAAAATAAAATATATCCCAAATGTTTAGAAATAACAATTTTCCACAAAATAAACTAAAACATTTCTTCTTATTCACTGTGCCACGAGAAACTGTGACATTAGAGAATCAAAATTTGGTTATTCCTAATCAGATAATGATTACATGCTTCAGGAAATCTTTTATAAATTCAGGATAATATTAAAATTCCAGGGAAACTTTTCACATATGTAGATAAAAGGAATATAAGCAATAAAGACTATCATATTGATATGTACCTCTCGAAACTCTGCTTTGCCTGTATAAAAGTATATTCCATTATACTTCTAGCTGATTTATAAATAAACAAGCTTATTGGGGCAGGCAGGTGGTCTGGTGTCTAAGGGGTGCTGGATTCCCACATGGCCAACCATGGTGGGAGTCCTGAACCTGGTGATTTGCTTTTTCACTTTCTCTCTCTCTCTCTCTCTCTCTCTCTCTCTCTCTCTCTCTCATTTTGTCCCTCTCTGGTCAAATTAAAATACATAAATAAAGACAAATAAAGTAATTTAAAAAAAAAGCTTATCTGTGTTAATTAAAAACAATGATATCCTGGCATTCGATAGAAAGTGGACAAATATAGAAGATTTACAGCTAAGTGAAGCAAGCCAGACTATGAAAGAGAGGTATTGTATGTCCCCACTCAACATATACCAAATGTTTGCACTCCATGGCAGAAACTGAAAGTTTGGAAGGTATAAAAACATAGAGAGCAATACTATTTAACCTTTGTCTACATATGCTATAATTCTGATTCTTCTGAATATTCCATGAATGAAAGTCAGGGACTAATCCAAGACTACTAGAACCAATCTGCTTTCCACATGATCATAAATCTTCAGCACTCTATCCAAGGAGATGAACCAAAGTATCTATTCATTGGATATGATTCAATAGATACCAAAAAACTATAGAATGAGGTGTCTGGGGAAAATGGTTTTCATGTGTTGTTTATTCAATCAACAGAACCAACTTCTGTATCATCTCTGGTTCTTGAATGATTTTCTTACAGTATTCACAGATTATTCAGAGATTGTTTTGTTCTAAAGTAAGAATTAAAGTGTCTTTCACGGGACCAGCAGTTAGGGTAATAGCTATGTTGCTGGACTCCCACGTAGTCGACCGTGGTTCGAGTCCCGGACCTGGTGGCTTCAACTCACGCCGGGCGCGTGCGGGCGTGCCCAGGATCCTGAGAGGAGAATGGAGGAGAAGGGATTGCGGCATGGCCATCCTCCTTGGGGGGTGATTTCTCGCTTTCTGTCTCTCTGTCTCTCTCTGTCTGTCTGGTGAGTGCACACGCCCTATAGCGAAAACCTCTCAAAAAAAAAAAAGTCTTTCTCTTTTTTTTTTCTTTTTTCTTTTCTTTTTTCTTTTTTTTTTGGAGAGGTTTTCGCTATAGGGTGTGTGCGCTTGCCAGACAGACAGAGAGAGATAGAGAGATAGAAAGCGAGAAATCACCCCACAGGGGGCATGGCCACGCCGCAATCCCTTCTTCTCCATTCTCCTCTCTGGATCTTGGTCATGCACGCACACACGCCCAGGGTGAGTTTAAGCCACCGGGTCCGGGACACGAACCGTGGTCGACTACGTGGGAGTCCAGCGACACAGCCATTACACTAACTGCTGGTCCCTAAAGTGTCTTTCTCTTATTAAAGGAACCCCAGATGTCTGCCTTCAGGTTCACAAAATATTGAGACAGAGAAATAAGGTGGTTTAAGACATCTCTGAGCAGAGACCAGTGATCACTAGGTCTTTTCCAGAAATTTCATAGGCTTTTTAAAAATTTTGTTATTATTATCATAATCTTCTTTATATTACATTAAATCACATATAACTTTTACAGTGCAGAAATTTCATAGTTTAGCTAGGCCCAGTCTTAATGAAGGGTGCTAGTCAGGAAAAGACAAATGAAACAGAAAAGAGCATTCAGAAGTAGTCTAAATTCAAATACTGTATATCCCCACTCTCGATATATACCAAACGTCTGCACTCTATGGCAGAAATTGAAAGACAGGAAGGTGCGCTAGTAGGAGGGATCAGAATCGATACCTGAGAATGTATGGGAGTAGGGTTGGATAGCAGTGGGTGAGTGGGAGGGGCTTAGGAGAGAGACACTCAACAGTCATAAGAATGTAAAGTTCTCCATTGAGATTATGTAAATGAGGGAACCAGCAGTTAGCGTAATGACTATGTCGCTGGACTCCCACGTAGTCAACCACGGTTCGCGTCCTGGACCCAGTGGCTTAAAACCCACTCCAGGTGCGTGCGCGTGTGTGCCCAAGATCCTGAGAGGAGAATGGAGGAGAAGGGACTGTGGCGTGGCCATCCCCTCTGGGGGGTGATTTCTCGCTTTCTGTCTCTCTGTCTCTCTCTGTCTGTCTGGCGAGCGCACGCACCCTATAGTGAAAACCCTCTAAAAAAAAAAAAAAAGAAATTATGTAAATGGTAATATCCTTGATTAGATTATCACAGACCACATGCAGTGGCTTCCAAGAGCTGAGGATGGAGGGAAGAGATGGACTACCAAAAGATGTGAGAGAACTCTCTGAGCTCCACATCTTGATTATGGAGCGGTGTCTGTCCATCTCTATACAGTTGCCCAAGCTAATTAAACTGTACAGATAAAGAGAATGATTTTTTCCTATGTAAATTACAATTCTATAAACCTGATTTTTAAAAAATAAAAAGGAGCAAGTAACTGTAAAGAAGATTTAGTCTGATCATACTGTTACTTAAATGTAATTATGGGACCAGCCAGTAAAGTGGTGTTTGGGGTGTCTGAAACCCATATAGCCAACTTCATGGTTCAAATCTCAAAGAGAGACAGAGAGAAAACCCCCCAGAGGCAAGATGGCCATGCAATTTCTCTCTGTCTCTGTCTAGCCTGTTATTTTCTCTCTATGCATGTGCCCTCTAACAAATAAATTTAGTTGTGTATAGTTGTGTATGTTTGTGGTTATGTATGTAATTATTTATGTACAGAAAAGGGATCTTAAATATTTATACCCAAATGTGAACTGTGATTATCTCCAGGCAGAGGAGGTGAGGAAAATTTTGCTTTTTATTTTATATGCATTTGTACAGTTTAAATTTTTTTCCATATATACTAACAAGCGTATATATTTTTAAAGAATTACTTATTAAATTTTATTATTATTATTATTATTATTATTATTATTATTTAATTTGCTATAGGACACATGTACTCACCAGGGAGAGAGTGACAGAGAGAGAGAGAAAGTGAGAAAGCAAGTCATCTGGTCTGGGACTTGAACCTCAGTCAGCCATGTGGGAGTCCAGAGCCTTACTCACCATGCTACCTGCTGGCCCAAGGACAGGCCCATTTTATTGATGAGAAAACTGAAGCATGAGGCAGTAATAACTGACCCAAAGCGATATGGCTGGTAAGCAGACAGGGATACCAATACCACTCCCATAGCAGTGCACAGATTGGTGGCATCATATTTTACTAAAACAGGAAAATCCAGAAAGGCAGGTTCCATGGCACAATGGTAATACACTACCCAAGAGAACCTGGATCACACATGGTGATCACAGTTCAAATCCCTGGACCAGCAGAGGTCTGAAACACACCACACATATACATGTGTGCCCCTGATCAGATGGGCTGGAGGACACTGTGACCAAACCCTATGAAGGGCACTCCTCTTCCTCTCTTTTCTTCTCACTCTCTCACTTGCATGTGCACACACTCTAAAATGAATTTAAAATTCAAAGTAAATAAATAAAAAGGGGTAAACCAGAAGACACAAGCAGGTTTATTTCTGACAATAATTATCACACATTTCAGAGGCAAGTATATCGTAATCCTTTTTTCATTGTGATTTTATCAACAGCTGAATTTTCAAAAAAATAAGCTTCCTTCTCTCAGGTTTTATTAGCTTGGGTTGTTCTCTCCACCTTTCGAATATGATTAGGTATATCCAGTATACGCTAGAGTTGTCTATTACTCAGGATGCGATATGGGGACAGTCAGAATACTTACTAAATCTTGCATGGCTTCTTCCCTCCTTGCTTGGGACCCAAGTTTAAGGAAGAATCAGTTCAATGCTAAATTAAAAAGATTTTTTTTCTGTATTTATGGCATGAGCTTGTATGCACGCCCGTGGTGGGGAGCACCGTCCACAGAGTCTGGTTACACCGTGATCCCCTTCCTCTAGTCCTTCAGACTGTCCTATCCTGGACCCTTGCACATGCCTGCCATGTCTCAGGCTGCCCAGGCTGGGGATTTGAACTGTGGTGCCATGTGGGATCTAGCTTCTCTTGAGTGACACATTATTGCTGTGCCACAGAGCAGCCCTGAGGCTGAGTTTTGAAGAACTATTTTTCTGCCTTCAGTGAAAGAACTTTAATTAAGGTGTAAAAGACTGTAGTGGGAGATAAGGTCGGATGCTGAGCCAGGCACCAGCATCCAAAACAGGTGATGTCTGCTCCTGTTTTATTATTATTTTAATTTGACCAGAGAGAGGAAAGGGGAAGTGAGAAAGCAAGCTGCCAGGTCTAAGACTTGAACCGCAGTCAGCCATATGGGAGTCCAGTACGTTAACCACCACACCACCTGCCAACTCTGTGCATAAGTTTTTTAAAAACAAAATATATTAGAGACAAACGTGTCTCTTACCTTAGTATAACTTTTTTTTTTTTAAGAAATTTTTTGCCATAGGACACATGCGATTACCAAAGAGACAGAGATAGAAAGTGAGAAATCACCCTCCAGTGGGATGGCCACACCACCCTCCCTTCTCCTCTTGGGACTTTGGGCATGCACGGTCACAAGTCCCGAGTCCAGGACTGGAACCGTGGTCAACTATTTGGGAGTCCAGCCACATAACCATTATGCCATCTGCTGGTCTGGGTATAAAGTATTTCTTTAACCATTTACTTTACAAATATCCCATCTTATCTTACTCTGTTTAAAAAGTAGCTTAACTGTGAGAATATTTTTTTCCTTTTATAAGAACAATTCTCACTTTGAAGTTCTAAATCCAAATAACAAATATTTATCTTTTTCTTCTGAAGCTTTTTCTGTAATACCTGCCATTTGCTATTGTGTCTTCTTAAATTAATTTTAAGATCTATTAAAAAGATGTCTAAAAGTTTTGTGTGACTATTTTTAATCAAAAAGTCCCCATCTCTGAAAACACTTCCGAAAATTAGATATATCAAACATAAACCTGTCAACAAGGTCAACAAAAATGAGAATTTACAATCACATGCTAAACAGCCACAGTGCTAGCCCTTCTGTATAGATTTAATCAAAAGGTTTCTTTGGAGCTTTCCCCTTAAATTTTAGTTTGAATCATT